TCATTTTCTTTTTAGATCGGTTGGAGTATCCGTTTACACTTAGTAACTCTAATATTAATTAATGTGAAGAATCATGAGTTTTCTCATCAATTATTATTATTAACTGTAAGTTACATTTCCTATAGAAAGCTGTTATATAAGCACATTGAATATGTTTTGTGTTCCCATTAAACATCAACACCGACAAAATTCGAGTACCATAGTCCTCGAATTCAATCTTTCCACACTACAACACCTAAATTCCAGCAAAACCCACTTGGAGGAGATTCCTTTACATACTCTTAAATCTCGAAACTTTTTGAAGAAACCCAGATCGCCGGATCTCCTATGGCGAAGCACACGGCGGCTTTAAAGGTCGGACTTGCTCTGCTCGCATTAAGCATGGTGGGTTACATACTTGGTCCGCCGCTTTACTGGCACCTCACTGAAGCTTTAGCTGTTTCAGCTTCTTCTTGCTCTCCTTGTGCCTGCGACTGCTCTTCGCAGCCACTTCTCGCCATTCCCAAAGGTAATGAAAACAAAGCTTTGTTTTTTTTATTGGATCTTGCTAGATCGGCTTTAAAGTTTGTTCATTTTCGCTGAGAAAATGAGGAATCTAGAACTTGTCATAGTAGTAGTTGGCTTGAGTTACCAGATCGTATTACTTCAGCTTGATTAAAGGATTGAGTTTGAATCACTATGCAGATGCTTACTATGTTTAGTTATGTAGATCTACAAGAATTGTGTCGGTGAGATTTACAATTAGTTCAATTGTTTTGGTTGATCAGTAATCAGTGATCTGTGTATGATATTTGAGTCTATATTCTGAATCACTTCATGTTTGAGCCTTTGATATCTGACTTGTGGTGTGGTTGTGTCTCTGGTTTACTTGTTGGAGTTGTCCTAGTAAAATCGAATAGTAGTGTATGCGTTGTTGGAGTATATGATTCACTCGAATGAATTCATGGAGGTTGATAATGTAGTCCACAATTGCTAAATACAGAGTTCTTTATTTAGTCTCTTTTTATGTGTATGACATTCAGATTCAAAAACGAAAAGCCTAATCCTTTTTTACTTGCTTTGTTTATGTTGCAGGACTCAGCAATGCTTCTTTCGCCGGTGAGTATAACTGTCATTAAATTCATCTCGAAAGACATTTACGCAAAGTGAATCAGTTTTAAGAGTCTTTAGACTTCCTTAGCATTAGATGGATCCTGTCAATTCTGAAACGAATATTCTTGACTATGTTTTAGTAAAAGAGTCTAGTAAGAACACCTTGTCTTTTGATGCACAGATTGTGCAAAGCGTGATCCAGAGGTGAACGAAGATACAGAAAAGAACTACGCTGAACTCTTAACAGAGGAACTGAAGCAACGCGAAGCAGAATCGATGGAGAAACACAAACGTGTCGACACAGGTTTGTTAGAGGCAAAGAAGATAACATCATCTTACCAAAAAGAGGCAGATAAGTGTAACTCGGGTATGGAAACATGTGAAGAAGCAAGAGAGAAGGCAGAAAAAGCACTTGTCGAGCAGAAGAAGCTGACTTCTACATGGGAACTGAGAGCTCGCCAAAAAGGATGGAAAGATGGAGCCACCAAGTCAACTGTTAAATCCAAAAGCAGTGTTCAGGTTTCTTAGAGACACCGAAGTTTTTCCACATCACATGAAAGAGAGTGTAACTGTGAATTTCACTTATCTTTTAGTTTTCTGATGGAGATACATCAATCAGATGGAATGAAACATTGTACCAAAACAACAAAGTATTGATGGATATTGAACAAAGTGAGATACACCAATCAGATTGAATGTAGCATGGTACCAAAACAACAAACTATTGATGGATATTAAACAAAGTTATTACAAAATCAAGTCAAATACATTAAACAACTTAGTAGGCTAGCGATAATGTCAAGGAGCTCTTAAAACACTTGGCTTCTCTACATGGTCTCTCCTCACTGTTCTTTCAGGCAAGGTGAATTGTTAGATCATCCAAGTCTTGAGAGCCAACGAGGCGTAGACTGTGCTCGTTCGCCAAATGCAACAAGCAGATGAAACATAGATGTGGTGAGATGTCTTGGGTGGTCCCAGCCGCTTGGCAATCATCTGGAAAGCTAGCCAATAGCTCTTTGAAAGATCTACTTTCCGGTGGATCTTGTTCATGTTCCTCGTCCTGCCACAATCAAATTCACTGTCAAGTTAATCACAGTAATGGGCAGAGTAGTTAAAGAAAGAAGAAATAAGGAATTATGTTTATATTAGCTAACCTGAATTGGTGGTTGAGGAGATTCCTGAAGACACTCCCAGAGAGTTTCCTTTAGCACTTGCACATCAACTTGTTTTGAAGCTTTATCGTACTGGACCTCAATTTTGTTGACCTAAACCATGAATTGCATAGGAAAATTACAACAATGTTTCATTGCTGACCATAGCTACAGCCTTCTGAAATGATCTGTAACACCATAACCAAATGCAGATCAAGATTCATACCTGGCGTGGCTGAGAGATTAATGAGTTGGTATCCTCTACATCACTTTGATCATTTCCATTATCAAATGGGC